TATCAGCGATGGTTCAGCAAATTTTGTTTAGGTGACTTTAGCCTTAAAAACTGTGATGGCAGAGACCAACATGTTGGAATTGATATTGATGCTCCGAAGACTTGTTGAGTCTAACCAAGGCAACACACTCATAAAATGGCATTGAAATCGCATGTCTCACATGAAACAACATGTAAACATCTAACGAATATGGGAAAACTCCATAAAGATGTTGTTTGAGTACCTCACAAACTGTCCAATGATCATCTTTTCCAACACTTCATCTCTTTTGGGGTGTAATGCACGTGATCCATTTTTGGATAGAATTGTCACCGGTGATGAAAAATGGATTCTCTATGTGAATATTAAACTCCAAAAACAATGGTCAGTCCCAGACAAAAACCACTTCCGACTCCAAAACCTGGACTCCATCCGCAGATAGCGATGCTTTGCATTTGGTGGGACATCAAAATATTATTCATTTTGAACTCCTAAATCCACAGGGAACTGTCAATGCAGAGATCTATAGTCAGCAACTGGAACATTTAAATGAAGCCCTTCATCAGAAATGCCCTACACTTGTCAATTGGAAAGGTGTTGTTTTTTCTCCATGAAAATGCATGTCCACATGTGACATGTTTGATGCAACAAAAGATTATGGAGTTGGGTTGGGAAGTTCTCCCCCACCCACCATATTCTCCAAATATGGCACCATCAGATTACTATCTTTTTCGTTCACTGCAACACCATATTAATGGGAAAACGTATGCAAATGTGGAAGGTGTTAAAGAGGACATCGAGATGTTTTTTGCTTCAAAGCCAAGTGATTTCATTAATCAGGGCATTAGCAACCTGATTGTAAGATGGAAAAGCATCATCAATAAGAATGTAGACTATTTCATTTAATAAGCTGTTCGGGTTTTTACATCTAAAAAGTGACATTAATTTTTTCACAATCTAATATATACAAATGTTCGTTACACTGTTGGTTATGACATTTGTATCCAGAGCTTTAAATAATTGTCTCTTCTCATCAAAATCCACAAAGGCTGATTCAGTTGCTTTAGAACACAATCAACAAGATGAATTTTTCTTCTCTGCTCTGTTATTGCAATACAATTAGTGACAATTTCACTTACTTTACACTGTTTGTTACCACAGTTGTATCCAGAACTTTTAAGTAATTGTCTCTTATTGTAAAAAGTTCACACAAGTTTGTTCAGTTACTTTAGAACACAATTGATAAGACACATTATTTCTTCTCTGCTCTGTTATTACAATACAATCAGTGTTAATTCACTTTGTAATTTCCAATATATGATTTTTATAGCTAAATTCACAAGCATGCAGTCTAGATCTATTGAACTACATCTCTCACGAACCTTCTATATAACTAAGTTTGTCTAACTTACTTGAATTACACAAAGTATGAGTCACACAGTTATGTAAACAAACCTATGATAAACTATCACTTCTAAAAAAATATAAATTTAACACTTGTGCTATACTTAGATTAAAACAGTTGTATATATCTAACAGTTTGAGGTAAAGATTGTGAAGCTTTTCAATCCAATTAATATCTTGTGTTCAACAAACTATCATAACTTTATGGCAATAAAATGGAAATTGCACAGTGTTTATAGTGAACATAAGTTGATAACTTGGAAAGCAAAAATGACTAATTTCTTTCAGTCATTGGTTAGTTGAACTTATGATTGTCTTAGCTGTTGATGGTCAGGTTTAATCCCGGCTACATTGATTGATAGGTCTTTGTTGGTAGTTCTGTGGACCATTAGAGCTGAGTGTCACGTCTAGATCTGGTGCTTACTCATATAACTCATACTGAAGAGCCACATAAGTACTTTAGCTTTTCCTCCTCTTCTTCAAGTTCAGAGTGGGATAAGACACTTGTGTCATCTTCATCTGATATGACTACTTCCAATTCTTCATCAGTCCATTTTACCAGAGGTTCATTGATCATATATAGACTCAGCTAGTTGATTTGAAGTGTACAACATGCTTTTGCATGCCTCTTGACTGTTTTAACTTGTATGTTAGGGATGCATATGGGCAGATGAAAGTTTGACTTTGTAACCACCGAATAATCATGAAACTTTAAATACTATAACTTTAAATATACTAAGTGTACCTAAATGAAATCTGACAAGCTTTTATTAAATATTACAGGTAAATTGTACATCAAAATTTGATTTTTTAATCAAGTATTTTTAATTTAGATTTGTTTGTGTATTTACAAAGCCTTAATGGGTCATTTCAAATGAAAAGTAATTTTCATGCTAAGAAATAAATTACTTCTCATCATATTACAGTTTTCATATTTCATTTTCTTAAATTCTATAATGCCCTAAATGAATATTAAAACTTTTTAAAGGAAGAACTATATTTATCTGTTACTTTCTCTATTCTAACACTAACTGTAACTAGATCATCAATGTACAATGAAATGAAAATTTGAAAATTATGAATTTTACTTTTTATTCTTCTTTGAATATATCATTTGTTGCCAGATCTTCAATTAATGATAATCAATATTTCAACTGCTAATCATTTTGCATTAGTTTTATTTTATATGTTATGAATTTATCGCCTAACTTGTACAAGTTTACTCTTCATGAATGTCAACACATGACAGCTGGAACATATCAACAGATTATTATACATTGATGTATTGTGTGACATAAATTTGGGTACTCAAATGCATAGCTAAGTAAACCTAGTGTTTTATTTCAAAGTTTGTTGTCAAAACCAAAATTCGTGTACATTTTGAATGTGCATTTTAGAACACAAAACATATATCACTCACTAGAATAGAATGTCCTAAAACTACTTTTTAACTGGGTTTCTAACTATGCTGTAAACAGTGCAAACAAGTTCTGTTAAGGTTATAAGAAGCACATTTGCTGACTCAAACATCAGTCACTTCTTCTTGACTAATGTCAGTTGCTGCAAAATTCAAAATAATGGTTACAAGCTCCAGTGTTAATATTTTTGTAAATTGCTGGTTGCTTTGCATAAGTATTAGGTTTTTGGAATTTAAAAAAAATAGTAAACAAAATTTATTGACACAGTAAAGCTTAGCAAATAGGGTTTGAAAGTTTTTATTTGAAATATTTGTTTATTACTTCCATATAAGTGTAAAGTATCACTAACTTGTGTAGGTGATTTTATGATATCTCATTTTGGTTTAGTGGATGGTACCTGGGGTATTTGGGGTTTGTGGAACAAATGCCAAGGAACCTGTGGTCAGCAAGGTTTTCGAGTAAGACATCGGACTTGTAACAACCCTAAACCACAACACAATGGATACCATTGTTCTGGGAACAACAGAGAAGAGGAATCCTGCTTAGTATTTGGTTGTGATATTGCAACAGCTCGTAAGTTAGAATTTGTACATACATGAATATTTACATTTTTTTAAAGTATTCAAAAGAAATGTTTTAAAACAGATGTTTAACATTTTTCTTGCTTCCATGTCTAATACTCATGTTCTGTAAAAAATCATACAAAATAATACTGTTATGTCTCCGTTTGTTAATTAACTTTCCTTAACTTCGTTCCAACGAAACTTTAGCGACACAAGTTCTTTACTTAATAAAACTGGTTTATTCTTTCCGAATACAACTTTACGATACACTTGATTCCAACATTCGCGCTAAAACAAACGCTATAACGAACTTCAACAATACGTCTCTGACTGCAAATCAATTACTCACTACCTACACACACATTACATTATTCTCACGTTGTCACCCTCTTTTATATACCAGACTACCCTATATCTAGTAAATACTAGAGCATTCGCCAAGGTACAGGATAGTTCTAGAAACGTGGCGTCACAGTAGTCAATGTGACTCGCTGACGCAACACTGCCCCTTCCTTAATATTGTTCGTCCCGAACAATAACCACATATAATAAACCAATAACAATAACTTAATTAAAATGTACAGAATTACAAACACAAAATTACAATTCAACAAAGTCTCTTAATTTTACGGGACGTATCTTCTTCCATACTGGTCTCCATCTTGTTGGCTTCTGCTTCATGTGGGGGTTCATCTGCTTCATCAGTAAATGTCCTATCGTCGGTAACAGTCACATCAGTGGTAGTAACTTCATCAAGCGCCTCTCCGTTTCCCTTCTCAAAACTGAGTAGAGTTTCTTCTTCGCCGTTGA